TCTTCAAGGGAATCTCAATTTTTTTCATTTATAAGCCTTTTTTCATTCTCTAATATATCTTTGGATAGGTCAACAGGTAGAAAAGGAATCAACTCTACTAGCAGCAGAGGGTTTCAAACACAGTGGATATAAAAACATTCTCTAAGCTTTATCTCTGTGGTTTTGGTGTGCAAAATTAGCCACATCAAACAGTAAGGTGTGTTTGAATTTGTGTCCACGTACTTGTTGTGGAGGGGGCGGTTGACCTGAGAGTGGCTTCATGTATTTATCTTAACAAAACAGACTTACTGTAAGGTTCAATACTCTCTCCCAGGGTCCAGCCCAAGTGGTCACACCTGCACTAACAGACACCTAGACCAACACACTAACCAATGGCCACAATAGGATGTGATAAAAAAAAAAAAAAAGTAGAATACACTGTAGGCAAACAAGCATCAAAGTTTGATTTCAATAATTAATCTCACTATGATTTCAATATTTGACATGGGCTTACATAGTCAATATTAAAGATAAAAATGTATTTTCACAGAATGTTCTTTACATTTTTATGAAGGACGATTTTATGTAGAGAAAAGTAAATTAAAAAAAAAGACTTTAGCTGGGTTTTCACAGGCAGGGTCACATATATAAAGATAATAATTGTTACCTGGCTACTTCATTGTTGGACAAAAAGTCAAAATTATGAAAAATATTAACAGAAACAAAGCCTCAGAGTAACAGAGCTGGCAGAGTATACTGGCAAAGTGTATACAACTGTATAGCACTTCAGATAACAGCTTCTGCCAAACATATTTTCACTTAATATATTATTGTGCCCTGGTGGTAATAAGGGAAAACACTTTCTCTATTCTCCTCCTTTCAATGTAAAATGTAAAAGACATGTTATTAGTACAGTGCTGTGGACAGTAAGGGCTTTCATATGTCCAAAAACTAAGAAAAGGTCATGACATTATTTATTTAGGTCTGATTGCATAGAAATTTCAAGGAAAGTCTTTTAAATCATAGAATTATTTGGGGAACTTGAAACTTCTCTAATTCTGCATGCAGTCTAGCACTTTGAGGCTCTTGTCCAGATTTTTCTCAGCCATTTTCTTTTCTATTTAATTACTGCCACAAAATGAGCTTTCAATTTCTAAGGGTATTTGTTTTTTGGGCCCAGCCTCACTGAAATCACAGAACTGAAAGTAGGCATGTCAAACTGCTTGTGCCATACAGGGTCAAATTTATATATGTGTTGTGGGTATGGATGCCTAGGAACACAAATTCTCAGATCTCTAAAAACTTTCTCAAAAAGGGAGCACCCGTTGGGAATGTAAAAGATTTCTAACACCATACAGTGGACCTGCCACAGAGTAGCCTTTATGTCCTGTCTGCAAGTAAGAGGAGGTTTTGGTGGCCTCCTCGTCTTTCACAATGACACAAACCAGGCCTCTGACCAGGCCAGGAGGGGAACATCCAACCCTCTCACTTCTTATTCCCAATTCCTCATTTTCCTCTTAACTTTGACTGCAGAACGAACAATCCACCAGAAGATTATGGTTAAATAACTATTTATAGATATCAACTATTATTGTACAGTTCTGCTCTATAGTGCATGGGTTCATAAGAATTAGACGAATTTAATCACAGGACTAAATTAATGTTCAAATACTATCTATAAAAACCAGTCTATATGTATAGTTTAAAGAGGAGAATCTACCAGTTAAAGCTGTTTTTTATCTCATGGTATTTTCATGGTAAGTTTAATTTTGGTGCAACCTTTGTCGCAAGTATTATCTTAATGGTGACTATGCTCAATCAAAAAATAGTTCAACTAATAATTCATCACACAGTAAATATGACTAAAAGGGATTTGCCCATTTGAAAAGAGAAGTGCATTCATGAATAAGACACTCAAAAAAAAAACTTTTATTGTATATTTGCGATGCACTATATGGACAAAAGTATTGGGACACACCTCTTAATTACTGAATTGAGGCGATTCAATTAGACCCATTGCCACTGAAAATCAAGCACCTAGCCATGCAGTCCCATTAAAAAAATGGGTCACTCTCTGAAGAGATCAGTGAATTTAAGTGTGGTATTGTGATAGGGTGCCACCTTTGCAGTAAGTCAGTGAAGTCAATTAAATTTAATCCCTTCTAGAAATGGAAGCGTAAAGTCACAAAGCAGGGTCACTGAGTGCTGAGGTGCATGGTCGCCAACTCTCTGCTGATTCCATAGCTGAAAAGTTCCAAACATCCACTGGCATTAATATCAGCACAAAAACTGTGCAGTAGGAGCTTCATGGAATGGGTTTCCATGGCCGAGCATCTGCATGCAAGCAACACATCATCAAGTACAATGCCAAGCGTCGGATGGAGTGGTGTAAAGCACACGCAACTGGACTCTGGAGCAGTGTAAACATGTTCTGAGAAGTGATGAATCATGCTTCTCTGTTTGGCAGTCTGATGGGTGAGTTTGGGTTTGGAGGATGCCAGGAGAATGTAACCTGCCTGACTGCATTTTGCCAACTGTAAAGTTTGGTGGAGGAGGGAAAATGGTATGGGACTGTACCCCAGTGCGCAAATCAAGGTCCATAAAGAGATGATTAAATGAGTTTGGTGTGGAAGAATTTGACTGGCCTGCTCAAAGCCCTGACCCCAACACCACTGAACAACTTTAGGATGAACTGGAAGAACTGTTGTTGTTAATTACTACATAAGCACCATAAGAGATAGAAAACTGTTTGGTTGACTATATGGCAGTGCTACATGTAGAGTGCAATGGGAAAGACCCATGGAAACGAGAAAAAAATGTAGAAAAAAACTGAATACTCTTACAGACAATTGCTCAAGTTCAGTTTGATACTTGATAAGATACTTCTGGTAGTTATACAAAACAATCTTTTGCTGATTCAAAGTCTTAATTAAATAGATGAAATCTGATGTTTATCTGCTTACCCCCAGGGCATCCAAGATGTAGGTGACTTTGTTTCTTCAGTAGAACACAAACGAAGATTTTTAACTCAAACCGTTGCAGTCTGTCAGTCATATAATGGAGGTGAATGGGAATCACGGCTTTGAGAGTAAAAAAAAAAAACACACAAACAAAACCAAATTAAACCCTGCGGCTCATGACGATACATTTATGTGTAAAGACACGAAACGATCAGTCTGTGCAAGAAACTGAACAGTATTTATATCGATTTTTTCCTCTGATTCACTGCAATGTCTGAACTGTCCTGAGAGGGTTCGCTTTTCACTATCTCTCAAATGGACCATTGACACTCTATCTACAATCTCAATTAGGAGTGTCAATGGTCCATTTGAGAGATAGGTGGCGGTAATGCACTTATAAGTCTGCGATCCGCCGTAGAGCAAGAAGAAGAAGACGCATCACGTGCTGGCTGAAGAAGACGCGAACACACTCAGGACAGTTCGGACGTTGCGGTGAATCAGAGGTAAAAAACGATATAAATACTGTTCAGTTTCTTGCACAGACCAATCGTTTTGTGTCTTTACACATCAATGTATCGTCACGAGCCGCAGGGTTTAATTTGGTTTTGTTTGTGTATGTTTTTTTGTCTCTCAAAGCCGTGATTCCCATTCACTTACATTATATGACTGACAGACAGCAACAGTTTAAGTTAAAAATCTTCATTTGTGTTCTACTGAAGAACCAAAGTCACCTAGATCTTGGATTCCCTGGGGGTAAGCAGATAAACAACAAATTTTCATTTTTGGGTGAACTATCCATTTAAGTGATGGTAAAAGTGTACAGTATGTTAAAAATTGCTTTGCACAATTACAAAACATTCTGACAGGAAATGAAAAGATGGCAGTGCTATAGTTTTAGCTTTGCTATCCATCTTAAAAATGACCAGTCATGCCCTGCTATTGCTAACAACAGCAAATGAAAAATTTGTGGGAAACCCGGTCATTGCATTACAGTGAATGAAGTAATAGTGCCAGAGATGACAAGACTGGTTCTTCTTTTAAACATTCTATACTTTTAGTGGTCTTCAACAGTCGTCTGAGCTTTTTGGGCTAGGCAACCACTCCTAAAGTTGTACATCTAGATGTTGCAGCTAGTCTTTTCAAAAGGAAACAATCATACAGACAACAGACAATCTAACCAGATGATCTACAAGGTCTTCATCTTTTGAAGAAAGTCATGCAGCTGGTAACAGAGATGAACCCCACTCCACCTCTGTGACATACAGAGAACAACTGAAGACCACAGACTTTTTAAGACATCATGACATCAAAACTGACCCCATTTACTAATCCCCCATTTCACGTCACTAATCCCCCTTTTCATACTTCCTTTCCAAACACTATCATTAAAAGTTTTTACTATGCAATCAGTTCAGTGGATAAAATTCTTACCTGCGTTTCCCCCCCTCTTTGAATATCTTATTTACTTGGGAAAAGTCACATTACAGAAGTAAAATGATGCGAATGTGATGTCATTTTGACCAGGGGCGTCATGCACTCATTATTTTTGAGGGGGCACGAGTGGGGGGGGTCGTCATGTGACACACAGCAGCCACAATAGCACTTATGTTTTATTGATTTTTTTTATTTTTCCTTTTTATTCGAAACATTCCCAAAAGCATTAACTATATCATGAAATATCTTGATTCTCACCTATGTTAGCTGATCTATAGTGGGCGATGGTCAAAGTAGCCTAATAATGTAATCTATTAACTATGCATAAAAACCTGTCTGTTTACTTGAGTAACAGATATGGGTGTCATGCCATAACATAGTTTTAATACGACTGACTTTATATTTAATGTGAATTTAACATTGAAAGTTAATGTGAATAAAAACATTGTAAGTTAGGCTACTAATCATAACACTTTCATTGTACAGAAAGAGAGCAACGAACATTTAGGCTACATTATCAAAGAACATTTTCACTGACAGCCTAGAGTTCAAGCACTCTCAAAAACTCCCATTAAAATCACTGAAGCTGTGAAATGAATATCTTACTTATTTATACACACATTTGCACTTTGTTGTTTCTAACGAGAGAAATCGCCAGAAAGAGGTATTCAGTCAGCGAGCGAGTGAAGAAAACACTGGCATTTTAGCGATGACTCATCTGAACACCTCTGATTGGTCATTGCAGCTCAACAGAATCGTATGTGATTGGTTATAATGCACGGTGCTATAAAAACGCATCTGTCTCTGGCTCAGCGCCAGCCAGCAAACGCAAATTTGAATTTAGCAGCTGATGATATGACGCGCTGAATGATTTAATCAGCTGGTGTTATTGTATCAAATATTCAAAATATTATTCGGCTATTTTTTGTCTTTTGGAAGCTGCATTCAAAATCCACTTGACTCAAATCTGAGGGGGCACGTGCCCCCTCAATTTGAATGGGCATGACGCCTCTGACTATGACTGCTGATGCTGTATGAACTCACACAAAGTTAAAACAGTTTAAACGTTTAGAAAACACGTCGCAAATTTGTGGAGGTTTATTCCTTTCCACCGTGTCCTAATAATTTTTTTAATGCAATCTGTGTGATCGGCGATTCAGCTCTTTGTAAGCAATGCATACATGATGCTGTTTTGTTCATAATTGTTTATGCAATTTACAAAATTATATTTGATTTAGATATGTTAATTTAGACGTAATGCAGGTTTTTTTATAGACAGTTATTTCCACGTGCCCCCTCACTTTGAATGGGCATGACACCTCTGTGCTACATAGTACACTTTCAAGATTTATCAGCATCATTTTATAGATTAGCCAGCTGTATGAGATCTTCGTATGAGAAAGGAGAACTCAGATTCACTCAGGCAAAATCTATACTGAAAAAGAAGAGTCCAAATACTTAGAATACAAATACTGAGGAAAAACATTATGCTTCATGTCTTGCTGCATTGTTTGAGCTGACCTTATACACTGATGCTAACATGGTATCAGGATGTAACCGGTCATTATAGTGTCATCATACAGTGGGGGAAATATTTATTTGATCCCCTGCTGATTTTGTAAGTTTGCCCATGAAATGTAGGGTCCAGAAAAAATCCAGAAAAAAACACATTATATAAAGGTTAGAAATTGATTTGCATTTCAGTGAGTGAAATAAGTATTTGATCCCCTACCTACCAACCAGCAAGAATTCTGGCTCCCACAGATTGGTTATATTAAAGATTAGTCCTGTCACTTAGAAGTTACTCCTAATGTCAGCTCGTTAGGTGTATAAGACACCTGTCCACACAATCTGTATCTTCCATTCCAACATCTCCATCACCATGGGCAAGACCAAAGAGCTGTCAAAGGATGTCAGAGACAAGATTGTAGATCTGCACAAGGCTGGAATGGGCTACAAGACCATCAGCAAGAAGCTCGCCTCATGGGGTAAGGATGTTCATGAGAAAGGTGAGGGGATCAGCCCCGAACTACACGGGAGGAGCTTGTTAATGATCTTTAGGCAGTTGGGACCACAGTCACCAAGCAAAACAATTCTGAAATCCTGCAGCGCCCGCAAGGTCCCCCTGCTCAAGAAGGCACATGTACAGACCTGTTTAAAGTTTGCCAAAGAACATCTAAATGATTTAGAACCAAGTACTAAGTCATGTTTTGCTCAAATACTTATTTCACTCACTGAAATGCAAATCAATTTCTAACCTTTATATAATGTGTTTTATTCTGGATTTTTAGATTGGTATTCTGTCTCTATACGTTAAAATAAACCTACCATAAAAATTACAGACCCTTCATTTCTTTGTAAGAGGGAAAACTTACAAAATCAGTAGGGGATCAAATAAATATTTCCCCCACTGTATGAATCAATTTGCTTAGTTCCTCTGATTAGTCTCTTGAGGAATAAAATATTTAACACAATATCATAAAGCACTTTGAGTTGGTTAACACAAAACTAATTGAACCATGTTTATTTTTACTGACATAAAGTCATATGTCTTATCATATGATTCAATATTATGATGTTGTCTCATGCTAGATATTTGGGCTGCCCGTCCACATGTTTATCATGTGCTACATCCTCACATAAGATTTCCTGACTTTTATTTGGAGTGAACATATGCAATCTGACTGTCTGCACGAATAATGATCAGTATTACTACACCCGGAGCTTAGATACGTTTGCCTGTGGATGACTAAGTGTCTCATGGCACTCAGGGCTGAATTCTTACAGTTTCTGCAATGTATGAGTGTATTTTTTTTCTATGTGAGTGAATGACCAAAAACAATGTAAAACCACACGATTACATTGAGGTGACTGCGAACGTAAATATGAATGGACAGAGAAACACATACACACAGGCACAGACACAGGTGCCTCTGTCATTTTAGTTCTGTGGACCCCATGGCTCCAAAACTGTTCCTCTTTCTAAATGCATTGCTCAAGTCAAGCCAGGATGACTCAGTCACCATGTATCATCTGGAGCATGGAGTCTTAACCCACTCTTTGCCATAACAAAATCAAAATAATATGACACTCATGGAAAAAAGGACTTATATAGCAATGTTTCAATGAAGGATACTCTGAATGATTAACCGCATTGAGTTTTGGCATGAGTCAGTAAATGGTAGATATTTCCTATCTCATTTGCTGTTTCGTTGAGTCAAAGAGATGATGATATTGTGATATTGTATGATTTATTTTTTATGTTATGTGTTATGTTATGTGATTTAGCAATGATTGATTATTTGACAACTTTAGTGGATGCTCATTTAAATCTTATTTGCTTGTCTGAAATTGATGTATCAGATTTGTCCAACAACTGTAGGTGGGGCAGAAGTTAGAATAGGCACTTTCATCATCTAATGTACAGGCGTAGTTAATTTTACATGCTTTTGGAGAAAGCATGGGGATTTGGCCTTGTGAATGTTGTGTTCCGCATTCCAGACTTTAGACATCAATCAACTGCGCCATCTTGTGGTCAGGAGCGGCATAAATGATCAAACAAAGGTATAGTTCACACAAAAAGGAAAGTTCTGTCATTTAGTCAAGCTCTTCTTCCTGTTCATTACAGATGCTAAAAACTATAAACACCATATAATGTGTGCTTAATTTTCGCTTTCATGTTACAAATTACCGTCATTACTTAGTAGTCCACAGTTATGCAGACATCTGGAAAGACAATACCAAGATGACCTAGAAAAGTTCATTAAGACACTTTGGAAAGGCTTTGTCTTAAGGTTTACAACAAATTAAAAAGTATTGACTTGTGACGGTTATTATGTAGTTTCAATACTCTAGCCATTTGAATAGAGACTTGGTTAAACTGAATACAGACAGAAGAATTAACGTGTTAAGTTTAGTTGATAATGCATTGCTAGGTGGTTGCTTGGATATTCCATGTGACTGCAAGGGGTTGCTAGATAGATAGATAGATAGATAGATATTTCATTATTCATCTGTTCGTGCATACTTTTTCATTATTACCTTTTGCCATTTTTACAGCGGGTTCAACAACCATCTTCTTCCCGCATATTTGGTGTTGGATATTTCATTATTCATCTGTTAGTGCATACTTTTTCATTATTACCTTTTGCCATTTTTACAGCGGGTTCAACAACCATCTTCTTCCCGCATATTTGGTGTTGAAGTCTCCTCCTCAGGCTAGCGCGCGCTCAGTTCGCTCCTCTACTCAGTCTGGAAATGCACTTCCGGTCGGTGAGACGTGGCTGACCGTGGAAAATCTTTCAGGAGGGAAATCGGGAGACTGTCTGCTGTGCTCCTACTCTTCTAGACCGCAGTGCCTGGATGGCAGGGTTAAGCCGGAGTAAAAACTGTAGTAATTTCAGCCGGGTAAGACAAAACGTTTGTTTATGTATCTCTGCAAATCTTGTAGACAGTGATTTGTTTTTCAAGGCACGCAACTTTGTATCGATGTAGTATGCGTGCACCGTTGCTTTTATCAGAAACATTGCAGCAACGTTGTGTTTTGCGAATTTTTGCTGTTTAGACATGCTATTCTTAAGTAACACATAAAACTGCCGTTTTTTGCCTTTGGGCTTTCTTGCTGTTTTAATTAGTTTAGCAGCCAAACGCTGAAACATGTCAAACTTTGCAGTGTTTTTAAAGCCCAGTGGGCTGGAATTTTTCAGGAATCTCGCCGCTCCTTCATCTCATGCACTCCCACAGACCGTCCAAACGTGCTGCTCCTGTGTGAATGTTACATTTGCTTTTTTTGTCCAACCGTAACGGACGTTATTAGTGGCAATCACAACTGTTAAAACAAAAAGATTTGTTTATTTGTATATTGCATATTTGTGCAATAAAGACAATTTAAACTCATATGCCATGTTTCAATATCCTATAAAGATCAGATGCTGAAGACCGCTGAATTTATGTATCCTCAATATTATGGGGGATAGTTATAAACTGTGTGAAGAGATTGTGTTAGACCTGACTCGAATGCATAATCTGATAGGCCTACCATGTTTTCATCTCTATGTAGATTATTTTCCTGTGTTGGCAGTAACTAAAATGTGTGGTGTTTTTTGTAGGTTGTCACTCACATTGGAGTGGAAGCACTTAGTCACTATATCTAGACCAGTGTTTCCCAACCGGTGTGCTGTCTGTCGAGAGCAGGGGTGCCGTGTAAAAAATCCTCTTTTTTTTATATATATTTTTTAATTGCTAAAATGTTCATAAAAGCAGCTATTATATAATATCCATTTCTGATGTCGCCAATAACTAGAGATGCACTGAAATTCCGGCTGCTGAAAATTAGTTCACCGCTCAGGATTCACTTTCACGTGGTGTGTTTCACGGCCCATGTGAGTGCTCCACTCATATACCGTTCATGCTCATCGGAACAGCAAAGTTCTCTCAAAAATCGAGCTGACAGGAACCATCGATGTAGTACAGTATTGTTTCTGTTTGCAATAGCCCTACTGTGCTGTAACAAGGTGTGGTAAATGGGCAACTCTGGTAACACTGCCCTCTCATTCATTGATCTGCTAACCGTTATGCTCATGTGTCCTCTGATAATAATAGCTTTCTAGGATTAAACATTATTTGGATAATTGGTAAAAAATAAAAATAAAAAATATCTTAATAGCCCTACTGTGTGTTAGACCTACCTGAAAAACTAAAAAGCAATTTATTTCATTTGTAGGCCTGTCGTTATTTCTTATTTGTGCTATCATTAGTAATTTCTTTATTTATTCTTATTTTATAAGAATAAATTGGTCTTTTCATTAGAAATTAGCCTACTGATTGCCACCATTGATGGACAAAATGTTTTAATAATATTAAAAATATCTGTATGACAGTGTATTCTGCAGTTCTTCCCTGCTGTACCGAATATCTATACTTTTCAAAGTATCATATCGAAGTTAGAAATTCAAGTATTGTGACAAAATTAATTTTGTAGGGTGCCACAAATTTGTTAAAATTTCCAAAGGGTGCCGCGACTAAAGAAAGGTTGGGAAACACTGATCTAGACCTTTCAATTTGTAGGCCAAGCCAGAGGGCTAATTCACCATGGCTTCACCCTGGAATTTCAAATGTGTTTTTGAAATATAAGTTTTTTGAATTATAAATAAGTCTTTGGATACCATTACTTGGAGACACTTGTGTATTGTGTTTACCAACTTTAATTTTGAAGGTGTTGTTAACAAGTTGCTATATAAGAACTACAACAGGTATTTAATTTGGAAAGCAAATTAACTCCTTGTGGTAGTTGCTGTGGAAAAAAATCTTTCAAATAATGGTTGTACAAAAAAAAAAATAGTTTGATCAGAGTTTCTGTGCATCCAGTAATAATGCAGTTTAACAGATGAAACTGTGTAAAGAAAAAAGAAATACACTACTGTTTAAAAGTTTGGGGGCTAAGTTTTTTTTTTGTTTTAATTCTAATATGCTGATTTGGGGCTCAAGTAATATTTCTTATTATTGTCAATATTGAAAAGAGTGCTGCTTAATATTTTTGTGGAAATTGTGATCCTTTTTTACTAGAATTCTTTGAACATAAAGTTCAAAAGAACTGCTTTTATTTTAAATATATTTTTGTAACAATATAAAAGCCTGATCAATTTAATGCATCCTTGCTCAATAATAGTATTATTTTCTTTTGTAAAAAAAATCTTACTGACACTAAACTCTTGATTGGTAGTGTATACAGAATAGAATATAATATAATAAAATATAAATTCAGATTTCTGAAACTCTAGTTAAATTGCTACTAAGTGGCTCAAACATTTGATGCCACTAACATGATGCTAACTAACAATTTATGTTCATCCGAGTCTAAGAAACCCCAAACCTTATTGAAATTCAACTAATCTTTCCACTTCATAAAATTTTGTTGAAGGCTCCTCTCTGCCTTGCAGCACCCTACATGTTTCTTCCAAATGCTTTGCGGAGGTCTGGGCTGATGAGCGCAGGACCCGAGAAGCCTGTTTGGGCATTTGCAATGCTGCTTCTTGGCGCCGCCCTACTGGCTTCATCCTTCGGTGGTAAGATGATGGCTCAGACTGCTGTGGCCCAAGCAAAGACGGCACCCGCAGGACCAGGACCATGGTGCATTAAGGACCTTCTAGACCTGGACGAGCTGTTTTCTATAGATAACCTAGATGTTTGGTTCTACTCCCTTTTGGGATCGATTGCCATCGGACTCAGTGGCATCTTCCCACTCTTAGTGATACCCATTGAAGCTGGAACAACTTTGAAAACTGAGGGTAAGTCAAACTTATTCTTACATGGTTTTGTGATCTAGGTCTGTGTATGTAAACGGCCCATTAGAACAACTAATCTAGGATCAGGTTACACGCTACCCAGATCAGGTAGAGGTAGCATTGTGTTACAGTCAGAGCTGGTCCAGATATTCACAGCAGTGTCCTGGTGCAGACTAATGGACATTGGGCAGGGATCAGTATTTTGTGTCTTTTCTTTGTTCATTCTATCAGAAGTGGAAAAATCAGAGTCTTTTCTGGCCCTGTGCAGGGCATCTATAGTTTCCAAGCAGAAAGGAAAAAATGAGATGGTCACACATCAGGCCTAGTGTGACAAATAGACATGTGTTTGTTATTAATACAAGCAAGAGAGAACCGGTTTGTAGATTGATTTAGGTCTTCACACATTTGTTTGGTTACTTTAAAGCAGAGCTCCTTTCACTCATGTTCTCTGTGGGATTTTTCCCTTTGCTGCTTATGCCTGGTTCCACATTTAGTTTTTTCGTACCATGTTAAAGTAATTTCCCAGCCACAGAATAAGCCACAGTTATTATAGGTGATTTGTCATTAAAACATTTTTATAAGGTGTCAGGTCCAGTCTTAAATTAATGTGTAAACCAAGCCTGATTGATTGATTGAGAATCTTTCCCAAACTGATAAAAAGAATCTTGCAGAGACAGTAACCAATCACTGGGAAAAATGTGTTGTGTGAGCACGCTTGACCTATAAAAGAATTTGTTAAGCATTCACCTTTTCAGCTACACCTGTCACGGCTTGTCTAAATATTTCTTGGTGTAGTGGACGTTCAAGAGAAGAACCAACAGAACCATAATAGGATGCAAAAACGTTTGCAGGAACATTGTATGGTTGACAGGGCGCACTCTAAAGACCTTTGCAGAGGACAGTGCTGCTCGGTGAAACTTTTGTCTGCGATGATATCAGTCATGCAGAAATAGATCGGAGTCTGGCAATAGATCCCAGTCAGGAAGTAGACAGGCTTAAGGGAAGATCTGTTCTGATCTACCACGGTAGGGTGCAGTGGACAGAAGAGTAAAGGGTTAAGGCTGAATTATAAGCAGTTTATGATTTTGCAACTGTATTGTGGTTTCACCATCTGCTTAATGTGAAGGATTTGCTCAATTTGCTTAACACAGCAAGATCTTTGAAGTGCTGCTTATGAAGCATTTCTGCTAATGTTTGTTTATGAACTTCTGCTGACGCTCTTGCACTGTTTGCAGCTGGGTGTCAGAAGCTGAAGAAGCTGCTGAGTTTTGCCATTGGTAGTCTCCTAGGTGACGTGTTTCTCCATCTCCTTCCTGAAGCATGGGCTTACACTTCCAGTCCTGGTGAGAATTCTCATATTATATATAACATTTGCTGCTGTTCATGCATTAATCGTCATCTGAATGAGTGCTTCTGTTTCTGTCTCCTTTTGGTCTGTTTTTTTAATAACTCTGTCTTTTCTGTGTCTGTAGTCGTAAGCATGTGTGGTTTTGTAATTCATCTGTGAACATACACATTTTTTCTCTCTCCTGAATGGGAATCCCTTACATTGTTTACAGGAAACTATGGCTTTTTTTGTAACATTGTAACATCAATAGTGTGTACTAATTGACCCTTTGCTAAACCCTGTCCCCTTGGTAACTCTGCCTGAAATCGATATGGAAAATGGCACTTTGCCATTCAAAGCTCACACAGTGTTACTAACATTTTTTAAAAAGTCCACTCTGGGTATTTGTGTTACTATTATAGGTGTTACTGTTATTTGGTATTATAAGACCAAAAGCTTGTCAAATATTATTAATAAAGGCAGGTTTGGTCAATATACAGTACAGCAGAGCCAGTATAATTTTAGTATTTATAGTATACAAGCATATAATTTATTCATATTTGAATTATTTACTTTTATGTTTTCAGTTTTCATCTTAATTTTAGTAATTGTGCATTTTTTTTTCATTTTATTAGGCTTTTTATATTTCCATTTAGATTTATTTTTCAGTTTTAGCTTATTGTATTTCTGTTAGTTTCCAAGGCAGCATTTCCTTTATACAGTTTATTTCAGCTTTTTCATTTAATTAAATGCTTTTAAATAGTTGTAGTTAACAATAACTGCACTGGACAGAGCTTAACTAAGTTTTATCCCTCCCCCCCTTTTTGTGTTTGCATATGCTGGATAGATGGGTCCCACAGCCACTATCATACGCAGGGTTTGTGGGTGATAGGGGGTCTGCTGTCCTTTCTGATTTTGGAAAAGGTGTTCCCTGATGAAGACAGTGACCCAGAGAGCAAAGCTGCCAGCCAAAGAGCTAAGGTAAGTTACATGAGCTTTTAGTACATATTCCAGCACTTTAAATCAGTTCAATTGATGTGTGTCCACATTGGAACATTGCGATTCTGAACCTCATGGGGGAGCCAAAGGGCATGGTGGAGTAATGCACTCTACACTCAAACACATTCATTATTCATCCACATTAACCATCTGGTAGTATACAATTAGAGTCCAATTGTTTATTTCTTTTTTCCTTACTGGCACATTTTTCTTTTGAGTACTGGTTGATGGAATAATAGTTTGTGGATTCACTGGACCTTTAACTAAGCGTTCTTCTTGTTTTGTAAACAATGACCCAAGTGTTGTGAATATTTGTAAAGCAAAGTTGTTTTGTCTTTGGTGTTGAGTCTCTGGAAAAAGTTCAGCAGGCTTTAAATGTTCTAAACTTCTGTCTGGTTCATTGCAGCTCTTAATGCCCCCTGACACTCTTGTCAGTTTTTTATTTATTTACTTTTTTTTTTCTTTTCATTAAGACCCTAAAGTGTTCCACCGTGAAACAACTTTTTTTTTTAATATAAAATTTGCTTTGCATTTTATTTTATTTGATGTTTTTTGAATCTGAAAATCACGTTACTTTTTTTGTATCATTAAAAGTGCTGTGAAAACTAAAAAAATGTTGACAACTTGTACAAGCTAATCTGTTATTACTCATGCACAAAAATTGCATGGTACGTGCATAATGCAGAGCTAACAACAGTTTAACATAAGCAGTTACCAAAAGTGTACATTGGATGATTTTTCTGGTCTTTTATTACTAGTCCCACAATGTTCTGGAATGTTCCAGAAAGCACTAGAATATTACAGAATGTTACAGAAATGTCTAGAATGTTTCCATCCTTGCAAAAGCAAAATATCTTTCAAAAATCAGTACAAAAACCTCTGTACTAAACCAGTGTTTCATAATTAATGATAGAAGTTTTTTAAAAACCTGAGCTAAATATTTACCAAAATATTGATGCTACATGAAAATAAATAGTCCAGTAATAATTAGCACCATAGAATTACAGAAGACCAACAAAAGATCCAAGTGAAATAAATAGTTTGTCATGTTGTGTTCTTGTTTGAACTTGTTGATTTAAAGATTAAGGCACAGAGAGAGGGAATAGTCCTGATTGAATCATTTATGCTATAGAAATGTTGTGGAGCCACGAATCATGAATCACTGTTCATGTCGGACGGATATTTAAAACATTACAACTCCTGTCCCATTCAAATACCCACAGGACTGTTCTTGTTGTTCAAGAAGAACCCCAACCCCTTTTTATTCTGGACCGTTTCAGTGTATTGCATCACCATATTGCATCAGTCAGTTAAACACACATGCACACCTTTCACTTTTCAGGCTCCACCCTGATGGATATAACAGCTTAAGGACTTGAAATATTTGCTCTAAGATGAATTGCAGGTTTGTTCTGTCTGCCTTTCTAGTGTAGATATGACATCAGCTCTGTTACTTTTTTAGTGTGAGTCTTGAGTGCCTTGGACACTCAAATCACACAAAACGGATGGGCTAACCCCCCCCCCCCCTCTTCCCTTTTAATTATTACTTTTAATTTGATTCTATGATTAATTTGGTCTATGACTTGAATCTTTTTGTGAATGCGGAGTCGTCTTCCTTGCTTACGGGAGACCTGGGAGTTTGATTGATAGCCTCTGCTCTGTTTGGCTAGTTATAAATAGCATCTAGCAGGAAGCAGCTGCTACCAGCATTCCATCAGCAGACAGACGGGCCACAGAAGTCAGCCACGGTGCACAGAAACCACAGCTGAGAGGCCTTACAGACTGTGGGCTAGAACAGGGAGGAAGCGTCTAGTCCTGTTACTACAATCGAAAATGCCAGCTGCTGTAAAGAACGATTCTCTTCTCACAGTCAGCTTTTGTCAGCCATTTCTGTCTCAACAAACTGTGGAAAGAATTTTGTGAATTTAGAGGCAGAAATGTTTTTAATGACCCAAATGCTTACATTTTTGGGCTTTGAGTGTGAAATGTAGACATGAAGCTAAACTGAGTGTTATTAGTCTGCTTGATTTAAGAATTCAAAAATAATTTCTAGTTATTTACTGCTTAAAATATCTATCCAGAGAGTAGTGGTATGCTGAAGATTCCCACAAAACATTTTCCTCAGTTTATATAAATGAATGGAACATGTTTATAGCAGTGTACTTACAACAGGCAGTACTGTGAGTAAACATTTAAAATATGCAGCAATGGCACATAAAATTGCATGTGTTAGAGTGGGGTTAGGATTGTTGGGGGGGGGGATTTTAAAAGTTGGGGGTCGGTAAGATTTTGAAATCTTTTTGAATGAAGTCCTTTATGCTCACCAAGGCTGCATTTATTTGTTCAAAAATACAGTAAAAACAGTAATATTGTGAAATGTTCATGTTTAAAGTAACTGAATATATACTGATTATATATTAATATTTTCACATGTAATTATTCTTATGTTGGCAAGGCTGAAATTTCAGCAGCCATTACTCCAGAACTCACTCTGATCTTTGATTTTGATTTTTTTGCTCAAGAAACATTTCTTAATCAGTTTTAAAAACAGTTGTGTTGCTTAATAATTTTGGGGAAAGTGTGATGCATTTTTTCAATATTATTTGAATAGAAAATGGAAAAAGCCACATTTATTTGAAATAGAAATCTTTTGTAAGAATGTCAAAGTTTTTACTGTCACTTTTGGTAAATTAAAAGTATTCATTAAAATGAATCAATCAATCAATCTTGCTGACCCCAAACTTTTGAATAGTAGTGTATCTGGTTATTTTTTCTTGGTATCTGATTTCATCTGAAGATTTGATAATGGGTAAAAGTGTCTATTTGCTCTTGAATGCTGTGAAATGAGACCCAGATTTCTTAGAAAGACTTACCGTGGTGTTCTCTCGCTTTCCATACTAGTCGTCTTCAACAGATCTGAGCAGCGAGGTCTCTGTGTCCCCAAAAACAAATGGCATCTGCTCAAACAACAACTCCGACTCCAAGCCAAAGACTGACATCAGCCTTTACACAGAGCCAGAGAAAATAAAGGTAAGATGCGCACACAAATCACACCTTGTTCACAATGAAAGATCTAAGAGATAAGTGCATTTAAATCTAGCAATGTTTCCTTGGAACCAATCAATACAGCATTTGTAAATTGTATCTTACCTATTATCTTTTCTCTTAGATTTATTGTATATGCTTTGTTTCTTTATTTTTTCAGACAAGTGGTTATCTAAACCTTCTTGCTAACTGCATTGATAACTTCACTCATGGGCTGGCAGTGGCAGGAAGCTTCTTAGTAAGCCGAAAGGTAAGAGCAAACGGAGACCAATTCTATATGAATGGGCTTCAGGGTTCATTAGTACTACTACAGAACTCAATAAAGTAATGCTAAAGTAAGGCTGATTGCTGCTAGAACAGCCTACTATAGAGTGCACTATTAATGAATTGTTAATGTAACTTAATGTGAACAATTCTGTGTAGGGCAATGATTTTATGTGCTTTATAAATAGATTCAGAGTTCCTGTATAAATATAATCTGATTTGGCCACTTTTAAACCTTAAATTGATAGCTTCTCCCATAGTTCTTTTGATCAGTGTAGATCATTGCAAACAGTGAGATAGAGATGTTTATGTGATGTGTGGCAATATTTATAGTGTGGTAGTATTTATATGGCTTTGTGGAGTTGAAGTCCAGGTGGAGAAGCATAAGGCTCCCAGCATGCGTGGGGAGGGGGTTTCAGAGGAAATGGACTTGGTGCAACAGAAACCACCATACTTGCACAGAAAAACACACTTTTACACATTTGATCACTTGCCTGGACATACATATCTGACTGCAGAAATGCAAGGGAGAGGATTGATGGAGAACTGTGCCATTTTACTGTTTTCCCTACCTCCACCATAGTTTCTGTTGACATTCAGTTAAACATATGTGCCAAATAAACATGTGGATTATAAAACATGGTTTTACTGCCCTACCGTGGTTAAATTAGAAAACAAGAGTGCACTACAATATGTTTACAATACCTTATTTTACCTGTTCTAACAGGTTGGTTTCTTAACAACATTCGCTATTCTGCTTCATGAGATCCCTCATGAGGTACGTATCTCAATATCTTTCTGTCTTTCTCTGTTTCTTGAGTTTCAGCCAGGTAATTATTACACCGAAACGATGCAATACATTTTTAGCTGATCGGTAGCAATTTCTTACTATTGACTTGGAATGAGCAAGGAGTCATTCAAGAGATATTGTATGTGAAATGTCTCATATAGTGCTCAGTACTTACCAATTTCTGTTGCTGTGCACACATTTCTGTCTTCATGAAAAGGTGGGAGATTTTGCCATTCTGCTGCGAGCAGGATTTGACCGTTGGAAAGCTGCCCGTATGCAGCTCTCTACAGCGTTAGGAGGAGTCCTGGGGGCATGTTTTGCTCTTTGCTCCCAATCACAGACTGGGGCAGGTGAGACACCACAGTCATCAGACATCTCTCAGATTAAACACTACAGTTCAAAGATTGGGGTCAGTAAGATTCTTTAAAAAAATTTAACATTTTATTCCATAAAAATGCATT